GGTAAAACGTTTGATTGGCCAGCTACGTTTAACAACACGTATTGCGTTGTGATAAAAGAGATTGAGCCAAAGGGGCACGTAGGAAAGAAGTTTTTTTTTTCCTCCGCTAACGTGAAACTCAGGAAGGGGCGAAGCATTCAGTGTGCGCATGTCATATTGCAGCATACCATTTACTGTGGAAAAAAAGGCAATCAAATATCGGGATAATTGACAAAAGCTAAATGAATGGGTGCATTAAACGAGCAGATGGTTTTCTCGTAAAGGTTTTCTTGGGTCGTTACGCCACCTGGCGGAACAGGTTTCAGCCACGTGCTTCCTTCTGCATGGTTTCCGAGATACGCTTAAGCAGTAAGCCAGATGATTGATGATTGATATGTGGTGTTTAACGTCCCGAAACCACCGTATGATTATGAAAGACGCCGTAGTAGAGGGCTCCGGAAATTTCGACCACCTGGGGTTCTTTAACGTGCACCCAAATCTGAGCACACGGGCCTACAGCATTTCCGCCTCCATCGGAAATGCAGCCGCCGCAGCCGGGATTCGAACCCGCGCCCTGCGGGTCAGCAGCCGAGTACCTTAGCCACTAGACCACCACGGCGGGGCAAGCAGTGAGCCAGAACCCAAAGTTAATCAAAATAATGCACGAGAGCAAACACGTGCCTAGCTAAGTGTGTTACTACCAGACACCCAAGTCAAGGATTGAGGTCGCTTTAAAACTTTTTCTTTTTGCTTTATGCAATCGCACAAAGAATATACACTACTGCAGTAGGGTTGGTACCTGAGACGCAACTAAAGTACGGAAAGGGTGGCGGGAGGGGGGGAGGGTATCATATGAGTATTATTGCGTATATGAGAGCGGCCTTAAACTCGTGGCCACCGGACCTTCCGCTTTTGGCCTTGCCCGCTTACGACCGTGCTATGTGTTTATTTAGTTAACGCAAAAGTGTTTTACGCTGTGGTTCACTAATATTTCATACCGTATTTCGGTAACGGAAGTACGTCAGCAAAAGGAACGTTATTACATGTCAAAGCAAGGTGAAGAAAATTGTTGGTATGATGGAAGTGGGAACCACAACATCTTGGTCCACGGCGTTTCCTGACGAGCGTTCAACCCATCTCACCACCACAAAAAGCACAAAAGAGGCTGTGCAATGCGCCTGTTTTAAGCAATAACTCGCAATGGACAACTGTCTGGATAAGAAAATAGCTTCTTGGAGTACAAGGCCAATGAGCGCGTTTCTCATCGAATTTTTTACCCTCTGCCCTGTCCTGCTTCAAACTTCTTCACTGTCACGGTACTTGCACGAATAAATTTCGTGACGGCATCCCACTAACTGAGCTCCGGAGTTTGAGACACCCTCTGTATGAACACACCCGGTAAAACTTTTTTGAGTTCTCTAAGTTAACAGAGCCCAGTCAGTCGATTTAAAAATTTTGACGTGTGGTGGGTTCCAATCCGCTTCCTTCTCCCTCGTTCCACTCCCGTACCTATTGTGCCGACGCTGTATACACCTGATTGCAGGCGCAGTACAACGCACAACCCCGCAAGGTTAATGCATTGTCCGCTGTACTACAAGTGTATGGTAACCCTGGCGCCGGACCGTCGAAGCCGTTTTCCAAGAGCAATCTCCCTTTTCTATGCAGCGGATAGGTGCGCATATTCGGGCAGTGTCAAGGTTTGACCTTCAGCGCTTTCTATTGTCCAAAGTTGTTTTGAATGTTTTGCGACGAGCTACTGTTTTCGAACTCCGGTCCAGTATTTTTTCGCGTGAAACAATGAATAGCTTGAAAAGATTTTTTAGTGTCTAAACAATACGGTTCCGCAGGGTCACGAGTTTTCTTTGTGCGACAGCAGCTGCATCTTAAGCAGAGCCAGCATTGCCATTTCAGTTTGGATAGAATTCTGTAGAAGTGGTGGCGCCTATTTTCTAATATTTCATTATGTTTCTTATATAGACTTTCTTCTTTCTTTTTAAACACTATTGAACAACGCCTATGCTGGTCGCGACCAGAGAACGCGTATGGTCTCTGCGGTTTCCGAATTAACCGATGTCGAGCTAACGATGACTTACAGTACAGCTTTACTGTGATATTCGGTGATTGATATTATCGCCAGAGAAGAAAAAAAAATAAATGAAGAGGGTGATTGTCGCCTTCAGGTCGTCTTAGAGGGCAAGGCATGGGAAGTCGTATGACATTTTTCGAAGAATCTAAGAACTCGCCGCATAGACCAGCCGACGCATTAAATGCTAAAATTTTCGCAAACGACAACGTCACCGGCGTTCTTTCGATGGAGCGATAGAGCGGCTATTCCGTAGTTAGGAACCATCTGACCACCTCGCATTTCCAGGCTGTAGCGGAGCCCGCAAACTACGAGATCGAAAGGTTGCCACTTGCGGTCGTTTATCCGGAGCCAGGGCGCCCACCTATATATAGGTTGTCTTCGGGACCGTCAATGTACAAGGTCCGAACAGGTGCATACAACGTAAGCAACCGGGTGCCTTAATGCCTCGGTCAGGTTGTCCTGCAGCCCCGTATACGTCGAAGAATAGATCGCGGACTGATATTTGTTGGTTAGGTGGACTTTTAACGAACGGTAGCTCACGGGTCAGGTTTAGTACGTTCACCTATAAGCTGAGAGGCATTGATGCAGGAATAATAATAATAATAATATTATTAATAATAATAATAATAATAATAATAACATGGTAGCTTTGTGGTAAGACACTTCTTGCCACGTGAACGGCCTGCGTTCGATCCTCAATAACTCCAAAAGTTTAATTCTTTATTTTATTTGCTTCTCTCTCGATTTTTCGCTTACGGACGATTTTTCGCTCAAAACCAACGGCGCCGACACCGAAGGCGGAATTTCTGCGACACGAGCTCACTAACGCTATAATAACCACAGAGACCGTGAATTTAAACATACCTTCGCTAACACCACTGAGAAGCCTATAACGCATGGTCCCATGACCCCACCCGCGTTACCCAGCGGTGTTGCCGAGCGTTGAGATATAGTAGTGGCGAATAAAAGGGGGAAAAAGCATAGCATATGCTCGAAGTGAATGACGATTACAGGGCAACGTGTTGGGATTGTTTGGTGTTACCATAAATCACCCGTGGCATTGACCCATCACGCATTCAAATGAGTGAAAAATCGGGGTACACTTTCATACGCCGTTAATTGGTGATGATTAGTATTGTGTTGACTTGAGAATTTCGTTTCGCCTTCATTATTACTGCTTTTTGGTATCGAATCCAGTCTGAAGTTTGCAAAGAGAAGCTCTGTGCAAGTTTTACGGGTGGCTGTTGGTTGTTCCCCATCATGCGAAAATGCATCGCATAGCGTATAGAGACGACATCATGTACTCCACAATCCAGTCATTGTCTGTGAACATCTTCATCTTAATCGGCATCGTCGTCATCATTGTTACGACTAGGGCGCACGCCAACGCCGTCAACGGACAGCAACTCAACCACGAGGAGCTTCGCCCATGATACGCTGTCACCGCCCAAGCCTCTCATTGTCCGCACTCGGCAACGCGGGGCAAGTTACGTAACGAAGCGCTTGACTTGTGATCTGTATGTCACGGCGTGTGTCATGCGAAGCTCTTTATGACCGCGAGTTCACTGCGCGTTCGCCACGCCACGACAAACTTTAGGGGCGAAGCTCCTTAAGCGTGGGCTATGCGTCCCCTGTATGTAGCCATCTCTCGTTTAGTTCTTGCATTGTTCACTAGATGGTGCTACTTGTAGCTGATCACGAAAAGATGCAAGATGTTATAAACTAGACGGTGGTTCTTGTAGTTGATGATGAAAGATGCCAGATATTATAAAATAGGAACGATGTCACATACGGCGCGTGTCATTGGTGGAAGGCAATCGCTCGATTTAGTTCGGCGACGTACGCTAGGGAAAGCGTTGTAGTAAAATCGAGTGGGCAAAACGAACGGGGGATTCATGGTTTACCATGTTTACCTCCGGAGCTTCGCCCACTCATCATCATTCACTTCGTGGATATGGCGGCGCTTTTTTACACACTCCTCAAAAACGTACTGAACGTTCGCCTTGCAGGGAGGCGCGTATATAATTAAAAACAACAACAACAAAAGAAGCCCCGAGATCGAACACGGCCGCGCTGACATTTCCAGCGAACGTTGCACGGCTTCTCGCATCTGTTAGGCACGGCTTCCTTTCAGCGCGGCGTACTCGAGTGAATGAAATACGACGGCCTCCAGCCGTTTCCGCTGCAAACCGAGGTCTGCCGCTGCACTGCAACGCCACAGTACAGGTGGGGAAAGCGACACTCGCTGTGCAGCGGCTGTGCCCAAAAGTGGGTCATTAGAAATTCCCGCGCAGCTCGTATACTCGACCCGGATGCACTGCGCGAGAGACTGGAACACCGGGCCGGCCGACGTACTTCTCAGTGATTCACGGGTATATCTATTATGGATTGCAGCTGTTGGCAGCTGACGCAGTGTTCTCGTGGCCGTGTTACCAAGGTTTTGTCGTTTCATGAATGAGAGATGTAGACTAGATAAGTGAATCTGTGCACTAGCCGAGCGATTTGCTCTGATCTCAGGAACGGTCTCTGGCTTAAGTTAGGATGCGGAAGAGATATCCTCTTGCTCATTTTGCGGATAGAAGAAGAGACATCAATATCTATTGTGCAACCTTCGGCCTTCTTCCTCAGACCGTAACAAACTGGAATGTTTTCGCTCACGTGTATTTTACTAACACAAAAAGGTAATTTATTAGGATGTCTATGAGAAAATGAATTGAAACAGTTCCCAAGGCTTGAACCTCGTACGACATTAGTTTCGATCGCCAATTATTCGGGACAGGTTGAAGTCCTCCAGCAACATCAATAGTCTAACTTCTTCGCGATAAAAAACACAAATGCAGTACGCTACGCACCTAATGTGGCATCGTGTGTGAGGTGTTCCATAAAATGCTGAGGGAGCCACATCTTCAATCGTCTTGTTTTCTGTTCCTCGCAGGTGCACCAAAATAATTGAGGATCCGCTACCCGTGACAAACGAGTGCGATCTAGTGCTCTCCATCAGGCGCGGGTTACTTCGAGCCCACCAGCAAGCCGTGTGTAGCCATGCCAAGCACGGGCCAGGTACCGTCGCTGTCGGTGCTCCAGCCACCTCCCCAGGAGGACACACACCACAGCCATCACCCGGCCAAGGACCAGTACCGGGTCGTGGTACTCGGTGCGGCTCGTGTGGGCAAGACGGCCATCGTGCACCAGTTTCTGTACGACGAGTTCCCCGCCGACTACTTCGCCACCGTAGAAGAGGTGAGCGTCCATTGAGAAAGTTTTCTAGTCTGTTTGGTATTCCGGTAATGCAAAGGCGTAGCCTAATACCGGATAGCGTGTGCCGTAGTTGTCCCCAAGTGAAGGTGAAAAAAGCTAACAAACGCGTAATCCCTCCGAGATCCTAGCAGCACCCATCCCAATGCCTAAAACATCGATTTTATCAGTATATAACTCAAAAACGGTGCCCAAACGACATAAACACTTTGCTGTCGTAGCTTTAACCCATGAATTTAGAGCAAATAAAGGCATCTATTCAGGGCTAGTGGATTGCAGTGCGCACGATGGCCACTTGATACATTGGAGGTCAACGGCAATTATTTCGGCGGCATGGCCATGTTTACCGGACAGGCGCATGGGCAGTTCACGTCCAGTAGAACGGTACACGCAGAGCATTTTGCGTGGACCACTGTGTTTGCCAGACTAAAAACGTCCAGTATAGTATCATTATCTCAAAAGCGGACGCGCGGTACCATAGGCATGCCTCAATAGGCGTGCGTAGGGTTCTTCATTAAGGCGAGGGGGGGGGGAGATACACAATACTACACTGATGCACAACCACGCAGATGAGTGGCACTCCTTGTTTGTCTTCATTTTTCTGTTTCTTTTGTTTCTCTCTGTTTTCAGTATCCTTTTTGTACGTATTTATACTTATTTACTTGTATATCTTTGTTTGTTTGTCTTATTACATTTCTTTGTATTTCTTTTTTTTCTCTATATCCATATTAACCTCCTTCTGTGGGTTAGTACCCACTTGAGTAGCTTTCCCGTGACACCAGTTTAAGTACGGTGAGCTAGAACGATTTCACTGACTCATTATCTGTGTGTTCCTCTCTCTCTGCATCTGGTGAAACGCCTCTGCTAGAACTTTTCAGAATGCTAGTTTTCGCGCACCTACGATGTCTCCACTCAATTTGGGTACCAGGAAACATGGGTTTGTTTTTAAACGAAGGCGCTGACTCTTTAGCAAAGGCGGTGCTTTTGGTACCAACCATTTCGGTTTTCCCACTGACAACATGCATTACAATTGCACTATTCCGCACCCTAACTTTCAAGAAATGTTTATCAAAAAATGCTCAAAAATGTTTGAAAGGGTCAAGTGACTTTGATGTGTTAATGTAAATGCTACGCTAGTTCTATATTAAAAAATAGTTGTCCCGACGAAATAACACACAGAGACGAGTATGGGTGACTGAATCTCTAAAGAACTTTGCCTCTAATTAGAGGCTCACTAAGGAAAACTAGTAACACTAAGACGCACTTGGAGCACTATGTGACCCGAAAAAAGTTTCTACATCAAACTCGTCGAGCGTGCGAGGAAAATGCTCCGTTCTTAATCGCTCAACGGTGATACTTCATCATGTCCCTAGTAAGATGACCACTGCAGCCGTTATCTTGCCATAGGCACTGCTTCACTCCTGGGCAATCATTTCCACTCCAGCAATTTTCAGCAGAAGCAGCATCCTGTTTCAAATCGCTTCACGTGGAAAATAAAGAAGTAATATCTATATTTCACGGTGAAAATACGGGCGCTGTTGTAGAACTACATTCGGACTCGCTCTCTGGATTTCGTGCCGACCGGTTGTAGCCACGTGATCTCCGACGACAGCGCAGCTCTGGCCGACTGGCTCGCCCTACGCCATCTCCTGCTGCCTACTTGAGCTCTCGCTGAGTGGTGCCCCGTCCTCGGACACCTGCGACCGTGTCCATCTTTCCTATCTCCTCTTTACTTCCGTCGTTTTCTGTCGTTTGCTGTCCCTGCACCTCACTCTCTCCCTCCTCTCTCTATATATACATTTTATTCCTATCCTTTTGATTCCTCCTTACCCCCATCCCTCGTGAGCTAATGTTGAGGTGTCCTCCACCTGAAAGACAGTTACGGGGCTCATTTTCTCTTCCTTTTTAAAAATCACATAAGAACTACATTCACTCGTGGTAGGATGGCCGCGACTTGGCTCTGTAGTGTTCACTCTAATGCCAAGAAAAGTTGTCGTCGAGTATTGTTGGCAATTTACCTTCAACAGTCCGCCAAATTCTGACAAAATACAAAAAATCCCCCTCCCCTCCCCGAAGGGAATCGTGAGGAAATGCGAATGCATTGCGTAGGGTCCATAATGGCGTAATGCACGTGAAAACCCAGCGTTAGAAGAATATTTTTTAAAAAGAAGATAGTCTTTCTTGGGGAGATTAGACACAAAAATTTTGGTCTGTCTGTATCTGTCTGTCTGTCTGTACAATTGTCTCTTTGTCCACTTTTAACGTTACCCTAAGCGGCACCAAAGTGGACAAACGATACTCTAAACGGCCGACCCCAACCGCAGCGCCCACTAGTATTGCTCAAGATTCAGCGTTCATACTTGTGCGATTGTCAATTAAAAATCAATTATTGCGCATATCTGAGGCACTATAACAACACGTCGATATTCTGTATGCCTGTCTCTTACTAGAAAAGGCATACATAATTCTAAGGACCGTAGCGTTTATCACGTTGCGCTGACCATGCAACGCTCGTGCGAAAAGGCAAGTGTTTCCAACGCTTTGCTAAGGCGACATGGTGGTGGCACCTACCCGTCGCCTTGCATTCTACACGTTATCACCGCCGAGACGAGCGCGCACGCCGAGCGCTTCGTTTTGCAAGATAACTGCCAGATAGCGCTCATGTCTCCCGTATCACTAGACTTGACGCGCTCGTTCGCCTCCGCTGCACGCTCGAGGCACTCTAACGCAGCGCCTCCAGAATACCAGTCCCCGATTTCATTGCGCAGAACATCGAATAAACGTTTTGTTCACTCTCTCCAGACGCAAGACTATCGCCTTTCGACGACATTTGCAGTGTAACATGCAGATGCGGGGCCAACTTTTTTTTACACCATGCAGTCATTAGCACCATTCGCCGCACGTGGCGTTTTTCTTCAAGCTCTAGTAGCTAGCGTGCACGGTTAAAAAAAAAACGCTACACAAACGCTGGCAGTACAAACGCAACAAACACGCTTCAAACGCACTGCATTAAGGCGGTGGCAAGTCACGTTCAATTCAAAGAAGTAGGGGTGCCTTTTGCTAAGTACGAGGTAAGCGTGCGTGCCCGCAGCTGTTGCTGACAGCGGCCGACGCCGGAGCGTGATACGGAGGGAGTTCCGGTTGCTAGGGACGCGCACAGCCGCAGTTGTTTCTATGGGAGAGGGCGGTGGATGGATCCCGACGGGCGCCTGACATAGCTTGACTAAAATATGCATTCGCATTTAAAAGAACGAACAAGCGCTGACTTCCAGCTGAGGGTTTGTTGAAAAAGGCACATGTATATATCGGCGTGCCACGGCACCTGGACAGACAGTCGCGCAACAAGCGTCAACAGGTTAGGCGGAAACCTTATCTGTTTATCTATCTATCTATCTATCTATCTATCTATCTATCTATCTATCTATCTATCTATCTATGTACAAATGCTTGCAATTAATTTGAAGAATCACGGAAGAAATACGTGTTTGAGCTTGTAGCAATCAATCATTCGCCTTCTCAACTTTTTGTCGCTGGCTGTCCCAACTGCCTAGTGGTTGCGCAATAAGCTTGGCTTCGACTATACACTTCTGGTGTTTGGGAGGTTTCTGATGCTTGTAGTTTACTGATCAGAGTTCTCCTTCCGGTTGAGCTATCAACTAAGCCTAACTGAAAGGTTCCTTCAGAACGCTGCTTCTGTTTGGACATCTTTGACAGCCGATATTCTTAACAGATCTTCTGCACAAATGAATTTCACATAACTTTTTTTCGAAGTGATTTCTTTTCCTTTCTCTGCCACAGCACATTTCCTCCATTGCCACAATGCATAAAAAATGGCAGCATATCCACGGAGTGAATGATGGAGAGTGGGGCGAAGCATCCGTCCGTCCATTCATTCTTGCTTCCGTCCGTCCATGCGTGCGTCTGTGTGGCCACCCGTGCGTCTGTTCGTGCGTCCGCACGCCTATCTGCGCGTCCGTCCCTGCGTTCGTTCATGCATCCGCTCCTGCGTCCGTCCATGCGTCCATCCGTCTGTGCAGTCATCCGTGCGTCCATCCATGCATCTGTCTCTGTGTCCGTTCGTCCACCTATTCAACACTCCAAGTACCACCATCTCGCATCTTTTCATCGTATATTCCTCGTATAGAAGCACCGCCATCCAGCGGACATTACAAGGACTGAACGAGAGGAGGCACACTCACGCTTTGTTACGGCTTGCGCATCGTGTCTACTTCCCACCTTTAACCACCTCGAGGTCATGGTACATACTAGTTCCCTGTATTCATGACACTGCGGCCCAACGCTTGCTAAACCTTTCTAAAACCAAGGAGGTTACGTCCAGCGAGTATAACGTAGCAACCCTTTCTTGTCAGGTAGTGCTCAATGTACATGCCAATGGCTGCTAATGGGGAATGAGAGACAGAAGAATTCGGCTTTTAATATAACGCGCACGCTGTGAATTTTTATTGTTCAACAACGCACAGAAGAAATCTCCCACCGGCACCACCTTGGAGGTCAAAATGTAAGACTGATTACACACTACTACTACGACTACGAGGGATGAACGGGTGCCGCTATAAGGAGCTTCGCCCCTGAAATCCGCTATATGTCCGCTGATTTAAGCGGTGAAATATCGTTGGAAAACGCGTTGCTGGAGGGCGAACTATCTATCTATCCAACAAAACAGGCACCGGGACCGCTAGAACGCTAAGGCCACCTGCAATAATGAGTGCAAAGCTACTAAAATTCCATGAAGATGCACCCACATGCAAGCCAGCTCGCTTGGCCTAGAACCTATATAACATCGCGGCGAAGCGTCGACGACCACGAGCTCCGCAAACATCCCCAGTGCAGAAGAATTATTGAGTACTAAAGGAATGCTGAAAAAAACAAGAAAAAAAACAATAAAGAATGCGCCCGAGTGCTCATTCGCCTAGCAGACGTTGTTAAACACAGTGCTCTGAGGACGTTCTTATATAGCTCGCCTC